GAATCCAATGTAGCCTTAGTTGGGTAGCTTCATCAATGTCATCATTCCTACCATGAGTTTCTTCATAATGATGATGCATGTGATGACTTGTCAGGTTGCAAGACTTCTTCCAGCTATTCCTTATATATTTCAATCAAATTGAGGGCCTTAACATCATTTTCTACTAGCATAAAACAAAGCATATAACTAAAGTGCTTGGAAGTTTAGAATGTTGTGTATTTGTGAATAGATTTAATATTTGTTTTAATTATTCATAGTTTGAATAATTATGCTTGAATAAGAAACATTTGTTGAAAACAATTATGTAACAAAAGAGTTATGACTATTAAATGAATAATTATGTTTGAATAAAAACATTTGTTTATAATAGTTATATAACAAAAAGAGTTATAATTATTTAAACAAACTAACATGGTTATTCATCAAAATGACATATCTGTTCATCAACTGTAAATGAATTTTTATGCATAACCATAGTCATTACTTCTAATTGAAGAGTAAGGCTTTATTGTATCCCATAAGCATAATTGCTTTTAAAAAAGTGTTCTTTACACCTCAAACCAAAATTTTTTTCTATTATTTATATTCCCTTATTTATCTTTCTAACAATTTTAAAGACAATTATGTGAAAATCATATTTTGCATAAGAAAGATATAAGGAAAATAGATTGGCAAATTTGGTAAAGTTGACTTTTAAAACATGTAAGAAAAGTTTCAAATATCCAAATGATTTTGTTTTTATTTTGCATCAAAAGAAAATTGTAAGCATGTTGCAAATTCGTTAGTGTTCAGGTATACAACTAATTCATTGTTTTATTTTGTTGCATGAATTTAGTTTTGTGGTTATTTTTACATTACTTTGGCTGAAATTTTAATTGATAATTCCAAAAGTTCAATTGGAATGAATTTGAAATTCTAGCAGTTGGTAGGGTAAAATTATTGGAATGGATTAAAAATATGGTTTTGAATAGAAATAAAAAAATAATATACTATTGCATGATTGAATTTTCTAATCGAAGTCGAATAGTGAAAAAGCATAAGGCTTTTATAATAAAAATAAATTTTTTTATTGAAATGTGTTACATGGTGATCACAAGTTTAAACCAAATGATATTATTTTATGCATAATGATTCATTGGAATCATGTTTCATTACTTGTTTTGGTATGGTGATTTGGATATGAACATATTGATCATAAAATGATTGTGAAAGCATTTGAAATTTGAGGTTTTCAGTAGTCATGAACTTGGAATTGGCATTTGGGATGTTAATATGTGCATTGGAAACTCATGGATAACATTTGAGACAATTGGTTTTCACTAAAAGTCATCAATATAAATGAGATAGTCTCAATAGCCAAATTTACATGATTTTAAGTATGATGTGGATTATTGTGGATAGTTTAGAATAGTTATAAGCCAAAACTGATGCCATTATCTTGATCATGTTGTGCTAATTTTTTGTTATGTACACAATCTAATTCATGGATTGTACAAATGATTTATCATTTATGGTTTTATTAAAAGTTTCAAATATAGTGAAAACTTAAAAGTATATTTACTTTGAAAGCTATAAGTGATTTAAAGATTTTGTGAACATGAAAATGAATGCTATTTGATCTATTTGGGTGATTGAAACGATTTTATTCATGGAAATAAAGTTATTGATAGTGTTTATGATGAAATAAACTCATATAAGTATTCATGAGTTGGCATGAAAGTCTCAAAAGGAGGTTATAGAAGTATGAGTTTACTAAAAGAAAATAGTTTTAAGGGTAATTATATTGGACATCATATTTATTGATGTAAACTGTTATTTTGATGTAAACTGTTATATTGAGTTAAAATATAAAAGTTTTTAAACTTTTTCAAAATAATATATTTTAAACTATAAAAATTTACTAATTATCTTTCACTAAGGGTGGATTTATAAGCCTCTTGTTATTAAAAAAAATCACAAAATAATGAAACAATAAATGAAATGACAAATTAATTAAAATATATATTGATAATTGAATGGGATATTCTTTAATAAAAAGAATGCATATTTGCACATGATGGGGGTGATACTTTCTTATAAATTTTAAATGAAAAAATAAATATTGTCACCATAATATTGTAAGATTTGAATATAATTTTATTATGTGTAAATTATACTAAATAATAATGTAGTACAACTTATTAATAAAAAATCATTAAAAAGGTCCTTAAATATCTTAAAAGCACTAAAATGGTTTGGTCTAACCATTCAGTTTATCCAATTGTGCTAGAAGAATTAAAAATGGATAAAAGTGTAAAAACTAAATGGTTGAAATTTATATATTAATGAGTGTGGAGTTGAGATCACAACCAATACCAACTATTTCTTAAAATAATAAGAATAAGGCAACAATGTTTAGAGCATATAAATAATATGTAAAATGAAAAAGTTTAGACACGTTAGCCTATGAAGTGATTATATTAGAGATTCAATCTCAAGTGAGAATAATTATCATAAAAGAAAATTCAATTTCAAGATATTTGTTAGTAGTACTACAAGTAGAACGGATTTAAACCCTTAATATTAGACACCAATAATGGAAACCCAACTTTGATTTAGTAACCTTTAATTACAAAGTTTAATGGGTAACAATAAGTTATGTGTTTATTAAACACTAATAAAATCCATTCAAAATTTATAAACTAAAGTAATCCATTACATGGAGATGATGAGTTTTTATACTCATAATGGAGTCTATTACTTAAATGTTTAAAACAATGGAGATATAATGAAAACTCTACTTATATAAACATAGAAGTGGAGCTATTTCAATAAGAAGAATTAGACTCTCTCTTTTAAATGTTTATAAATAGGATTAGCATATAGCTATAATAGTGCTAAAGTGGTTATAAACCTTTTACAAAAGAATAAATAAGTGTTGTGTGTCTTGTATCTTCAATTTTAATACTAGGAGTTAAGGTTTAATCTGTAGACACAATTAATTTCATTAGAATTCTAAAGTATATACGCTAATTGAATATTTAAATCAAGAGATACTTTTTTGTATTATATGCTAATTGAAGATTTAAATCAAGAAATACTTTTTTGTATTCATAATATTTATTTGTGTGAAAGATTAAAGATTAAGTACCAACATTTCAAACTAGTGGGGGATTATTGATAGTCTAAAATGTTGTGTATTGTTGAATAAATTTAATATTTGTTTTAATTATTCATAATTTGAATAAAAAACATTTGTTGAAAACAGATGTAAAAAAGAGTTACGACTATTAAATGAATAATTATGTTTGACTAAAAAAGTTTGTTTATAATAGTTATATAACAAAAAGAGTTAAAATTATTTAAATAAATTAACATGGTTATTCATCAAAATAACATATGTGTTCATCAATTATAAATAAATCTTTATGCATAACCATTTTTACTATTTATAAAGAATTTGAAAATTTGTTGTATCCTAAAAAATAAATATATTTAAAAAAATGTTCTTCACATCTTGTAATCAAATTTTTTTTCTATTATTTTTATTCTCTTGTTTATTTTTCTAATACCAAGAAACTATCAAACATCCTGGTTTCTCATGTTTTGGTGGAATGGTCTGATGTGGAATTAAGTATCCAGAAAAGTGTCCTAAAAACTTCAATGTTTGAGTTCTCATATTCAATTCAAATGGGAATTATTATTAGATTCCAACCTTTTATCATCACCAGTCTTGCGATGGATTGTTTCAAAGAGATGCGGCTCATTCGAACAAATTAGGATCTTTCATATCATCCAATGGTGTGTTTTCATCAATATCATTATGCGTTCAAGGAGTTTTCCTTGTGAAAATGATGCAGTTTTCCTATGTGAATCACTGAATTTCTTCCTTTGCTCTTTCAAATAGATGAGGTGCTTTTACATCCTCATCTGCTAGCTTCATAAGAATATTGTTTATAATTCTCGGTAGACTTCTAACATTTTTTAATAACTGCACAAATATTATATGGGTTTAACAACTAATCTAATCTGATACATTTAGCCATTTATAGATGAAGAACAAAAAAATGGTTATGATAAACCAAAGAATTCCCTCCAAATGCAGAATGACAGAGAAAAAAGAAAAAAAAATTGGAAAATCAAAAGAGATCAATACAATTAAACCCAAAGATCGCATAATTTCAATATTACTCAAATGCTTTCTCAACAGTCAAAACCAAATAGTCTACTTGGATTATACCGGGCACGTAACTTGGAATAAAGGGGTAATATAAAAGGTTACTTGTTGAAATAAAATCATTTTTGGTATTTATGTACAGTTCAATTAATTCTATATACTGTCTTATTCCTACAATTTTCTGTATAAACGCTTCGTGATTTTGGCAGACTTCAAATTTTGGCTTTAGTTGGAATTTGCCTGTATCATTGAACATAATTAGCAAATCTCAAAATTAAATTTCAATATATATTGATGTTGGGAAAGATTTATACAAAGGTTTTTAAATGAAATTTGTGAAATTTTTTTATTAAAAATAATTTAATAAAAATTAAATAAAATTAAATCGATATATTAATAGAGTTGATTAAAAAAATTAATAATATATAAAAATTTTATTAAAAATATTTTTTATAATTTAAATTTGATAAATATTTATTTAATGCTAAAAATTATGTCAAAATTTTTACTAAAAATATTTATTTAAAAAATATATCAAATTTTATTTTTTTAAAAATTTATACATTCAATTAATGTGATAAAATCTTTCAATTTATTATTTTTCATTTTTAATTTTAATTTTTTATTAAATAATTTTTAATAAAAATTTCCACACTGACCTCAAAAATACTAAGCTTTTACCGATGATTTAGAGTGCGGTATGTGGCACAAACATCAAGAAACAAGAACTAATTTTCTCTCCTTCGAAATGGGCCGGAAAGAAATACAAACCCCATTTTGTAAAAGAAAAAGCCCAATAGGCCAGCTATCAAACAAAAACGTTCCAAGTCGTGGTAAAACAACCTATAAACCTTGACTTTGAGGTTTCGTGCAACAGTGCCTACTATAATATAGCTTCTCTCCATTCTCTAAATATCAGCAGTTTCATTACCAATCTCCAGACCCCAAAAATCTCCAAAAATGCAAGAAAAGAAGGCGGAAACGGGAAGTAAAAATGCAAAGAAGGCGAATCTCTTAGATCACAACTCCATCAAACACATCCTCGATGAATCAGTCTCTGAGGTAAAAAAATTGAAAAAAAAAAATCAAAACAAGCCTCGATCCATGAATTTTCACAATTACAGCTCAATTTATGAATAATTAGTTCTCTTTTTATTTTTATATTTGGTTTTAAATAGATTGTCACGAGCCGTGGATATGTAGAAGATGTGAGGCTGAGCAATGTCAGATTGTTCCTTGGAACGATTATAATTGTAATCGCTCTTTTTGCTCAATTTTACAAAAAGAAGTTCCCCGAAAACCGAGATTTCCTCATCGGTTGCATCGTATTATATCCTTTTTCTCATTGATTGATTTCTTAGAATTTGTTGTTTTGGTTTATTATAATTGCTAGATAAATGGTTATTTAAGAATGTTTTGGATGATTTTGAATTGTATTGCTGTTTTTATTAATCATTTTTAATTGAAAAGTTGGAATGATATACTGGCAAGAATCTAATTTAGGCTGTATTTGGTTGTTAAAATTTTTTTATTTAATAGAAGCAAATGGTAATCTGAGAAATTATATTTATTGTAATGAGTAAATATATGAAATGTAATGCATATCTATGCATAATCGATCCATATGAAAGTGAAATCAGGTGTCCCGTTATTAAAAAAAATTAAAATTTAATTTAATTATGTAAAACTATATTAGGATCCATATGAAATTGAAATCAGGTGTCCCCTTTTTAAAAAAAAAAAATTAATTTAATTATGTAAAACTATATTAGCTTTTCCAACCAAATGAACTTTTTTTTTTTTTAAAGTTCTAAGTTTAAAACAGAGCAGCGAAAGCAACAATTAGACTGAGTCTTAGATTACTAAATATATTTCTTTTGGTCTGATCATATGTGTAAATTTTTTCTATTGAAATTCCCATCTTTTTAGTATTATTTTTAGTGATTAAGAGCTTTGAGAAAGAAACTCCCGCCCTTCATCTGACTTGATTCAACATCTGGCTTCATTGTGTTAACTTGTGAGCAGAAATCAAAATGATGAGAGCCTTTTTTTTTTTTTTTTTAAGTTTCTAATGCTTGAACCTGAAACCTTTTGTTCAGGGTGTATTTTCTACTAAGACAAGATGGTGTGAAAGATTTCATTTTGGTTTCCCTTCTTTTCCTTGCTTTTTTTGCCAACCAAAGAGTGTAATCTTTTATGTTTCATGTTTGTTTGATCCTTGACTCTGGCAAGTATATAGTTTTCAATGGATTACTCCAGCTGATTATCTACACAAAGGAAAAGAATGCAATTCTATTTACTTATCCTCCTGCTGTAAGTTCTTTTGCTTTCTAATTGAGCATTTCCTTATGTTATATCTTGTGCTATGCATTGATTTATTTTTCTTTCAGCTGAGATTATCTCATGTATGATTAGGTTGGTCTTTGGTCTTGACGTGCTTAAGCTGTGATGGTTACTGATTCTTGAGATTACCATTTAACTCTATTTCATCTTATTGGCATGATGATGTAGTCTTGAGTTTGGAACTTTTTAATGAGAATATGTTGTCATCTAACACTGGGTCCAAGATCATAAATGAAATTGAAGGAGGGCAATTTAATCTTATGTATGTTTTGCTTATTTTCTATCATTAGCTCAGTTCAATGTTCTTCATTTTACTGCTACATGGCTCATAAGAGTGTTTCCACCCAAAAATAAAAGAAAGAGTTTTATGACTTTGTCTATTGTGTTTTTTATAGTGAAACTGTTACATTTCATCCTTAACTGTTCACAATGTTGCCTATTTTAGTCTAAATACCAATGCTTTATACTTAGAGTAATGATGTGGAATAATGCCTAGCATCCAATAGATATCTAGATGCTTGAATATTGTCCAAGGTAATTATATTTCTTTTACAAACTCAACACAAACAAAACCCTATTATTGCCTAACCTCCATGGTGGTTCAGAGAAAGGTCACATAGAGTGGGCATTTGCATTCTGTGTGCCTTGGGCTGAAAGGAACTTTCCATATTACAAAGATTAAAATTTAATGTGCTTGCATACAAAGCCCCACATGTGTTGTTTTCTACATCTAGGTACTGATTTCATGTTTGCAGGGATCCGTCACCAGCACCGGTTTAGTGGTCTCTTCAAAGTTGCCAAGATTCTCTGATCTTTATGCACTTACTATAGCGAGTGCAGATCCCAAGTCCATATCTGCCGGGAAACCAGTAGAGTTTACCAAAAGTGTTACCCAGTGGTATCTCCCTTTTGCTTAACCCTGCTTTTGCTCTTTACTATCCCGATTGCAGACCTGCAATCCTTTTACATTTCTAACTTGTTGAAATATTGCAGGCTCACAAAGGATGGAGTATTGGTGGAGGGCCTATTCTGGAAAGATGTTGTGGCACTAATAGATGATTATTCAGCAGAACCGAAGAAAAACAAGTGATCTAGATAGCAAGGCTTACCTTGATAGGTTACCGGTGACTGAATTCTGGCCATGTTGTGACTTTGATATAGATGTGCACTAAAATTATTGTTCTTGTGTTGAAAATTTTGAACTAAAAATCAACTTTGCCTGAAGATTAGGGGACAATTTACATCGTTAGTCAATAACGATTCCTGCTAATGAATGAGCTTTGGCATCATTAGCTTTATTGAATGTTGTATCTATTGCCGTGTTCTATTAAGGCTTGATTTACATTCAAACGCACCTCCAATTGGGTAATGTTTTTTATGAAATTTTGTGCAGATCGCACTGAGCATCCGTTTAGATGTTGATGAGAAAATCAGTTTTTTTCACTGGTTGTTTTGGATCTAGGGATCCAACAAAAAATTTTTACAATTTAATTTATTCTCTTTCTTTTACATTTTAATTTTTTATTTAAAAAATATAAGATATTTTGTTAATTAATATAATAAAAATATTATTTGATATATTATTTTTATTAATTTTGATTATTTTATTAATAAAATTATTATTTATCATAAAAATTATTTTTTAAGTTTTTAAATGCAAATAATTTAAATTTTTTATTACATGTAAATTTTAATTTTAATATCCAATTATTATTTTATTTTATTATAATTCAACTTATTATTGCCATAACGGTTATATTCAAATAGATATTTTTATTATTAATTTTAATTTTATTATTATAATAATTAATTTTCTTTTCATTACAATCATATGTTCAAATGATTCGACAATATACTTATTATTATTATTATTATTATTATTATTATTATTATTATTATTATTATCTTCCTACTTCTTTGTTTAATTTCTGTTGGGCAAGCTTTGGAATGTCAACAGCAGTCTGTTACCTCGGCTTCCTGGCTACTGATCTATTTATTGAAGCTATACAGTAATTAATCTATACATAGAAGCTGCGCCGCCCGATACAGATGCATCTCTTTATGACAGCCAAGAGTTAGCACTGTGACATTTACATATTTCCTATGGTACGATTCATTGATTTGGTTATTGGTTTTGCTACATTTTTTTTAGTTATTTATTTTATCTAAAGTTGCTATTAAATTAAGTAAAATTATATGTTTTAAGTAAAAAAAAAGAATACAGTTTTTCTACTTTTTTTTTTTTTTTTTGGCTAAACAGGGGAGGCAGAAAGGAAATTGACTTTTTCTTATAAGCACTTCTGCTACTACACTATTAAGTTTTGAGTTGTCAATACGCAGCTTAGTTAAAGATAATATATGAAAATGCCAATTTTTGTTAAAAACCTTTAATGATAGCATTCCCCCCAAAAAATGTGGACGGCCACCAAAAAACTTCTAAAATGGACCTCATAATTAAATTCTGTCTTCCCACCAAGTATAAGCCATCGCCATCATAAGCAATTTGACAAAGGCTCCAGCCTCCAACTCAAAACAAGGTCCATGTATTTACCACATTAATATTTTTTTTTTCCTTTTAGAATGCGATAAAGTGTATTTTTTAGGTTTTTTATGGAGTTAGTTTTTTGTGATTTTAAAAAATATATTATATATAAATATAATGTATTTAAATTTTTATTTTTAATTTATTTTTCTCATAAATCAAACTTTAATCAATAAAAATATTTTTTTCTTATCAATTAATTTAATCTTCCTAAGTTATCATACGTTGGTAGTTTAGAATATTAGACATTCTACATTTAATAAAAAATTTTAATTATTGATGAATAAAATTAATTTTTTATATTAATTTTATTCGTATCTTAAATGATTATGTTTAAACAAAAATAATTATTATATAACAAATAATAATAACTCTTTGAATATAAATAGATTATTATTCATAAAGATCATAATTATACAAAATATTATAACTATTTAAATAAAAATTTATATATGTTCATTTATTATAAATAGATCTATTAGTATAACCATTTTCACTACTTTTTCTTAAAGAGTTTCGAAATTTTATTATATTCTAAAAGCATAATTGTCTTTAAAAAAGTATTTTTCAAGCTTCAAAATCAAAATTCTTTTATACTACTTTTATTCCATCATTTTTTTTAACCATTTAAAGTTAATTATGTGAAATTCATATTTCGCATAAGGAATATACAAGAAAAAAAATTGATAAAATCGACTTTCGAAACATGTATAATTCGGAGATTAAAACAAAGATTTATTCAGGTAAGTCAATAGATTATTTTTTTTTGTTGGATGAATCATATTTCATGTTTATTTTTTCTTATCAATTTAATTAATTGAGAATTTTAAAATTTCCTTGCAATGCATACAAAATTATGGCGGGTTCTAATGAATCATATATAAAAGAAAGATATGATGGAGAGAGCTTGTCCATCCTTTATCATCCAATTAATATATGACTGTTCTTAAGGGCCATGGAGAGATATTTCTTGTATTCAAGAAAGTAGTCATTTCCTAGCCAGTAAGTCGAAAGTTTATCACACTACCACCGAATGGTTGGAATGAAGATATTTGATTTTTTGTGACCATCTTTCATTTGCAAACAAAGAAATATGCTTCAAATCCCACGAAAATGTTTCTCCATGGGGAAATGCATGCTTCTAGTTTTCATTCTATTTTGGGCAATTGGTTGAACGATTATTTAATTCTGGAACAACATGGGTTGTGAATTATGATGATCAGAGTATTCAGTCAATTAACACTAAGAAAGTTGACAATGGGGGGATAAGTTAGTGAAGATTTATATTCAAGTGACTTTTCATTTGGTTTATCCATGGAAATATCAGTGTCGCGCCTGTATTAATGGAACATGCATAAGATACGGTGGATAATAACTGTGTCAACAGGTCATGCTTACAACAAGTTGAAAGACGATAAATATTAATGGGTCTTGCTTATAACAAAGGGGATGAATACATTGTCTGACACCTATGAAAGAGTATAGTTTTTCATGTCAATTTGACAATCCTATAACAAAAGTGAAGACACGTTACAATTGGTCAAACATGTAAAGAAAGTAACAAGCTATTGCAATAAGCAATACCTTCAATAAGGGTGATAATAATTTCATGTCCATGGGTTTTTAATTTCTTGGTAAGGATGTGTATTGATTATGTATAGTTAATGTGAGGATTTGTTAAGTTTCATGACTTGCATTGGTATTAGAAATTAAAGTTAAATATGTAATGAATTCTAAGTACTTATAGGCATATTGGTCATATGAGTAAAGTTTGAATTTATTATATATCCAAAAATATTATGATTAATTAAAAGTGGTAAATAATAAAAATATCTACTTAGGCTGTATAATGGTAGAGAAATAAAATTCTCATAAAATTTTAAAATCAAGTTTGGAGGTTTCAATAGCCATGAATTTGAAATTGGTAATTGGGTAGTTAATTCGTGCATTGGAAACTCATGATAATATTTGAGGTAGTTGGTTTTCACTAAAAGCCATAAGTATAAATGAGATAGGTTCAATAGCCAAATCTAAATAATTTGTAAGTATATATAGATTATTATAGTTAGCTTAGAATAACCATAAGCAAAAAAAAAAAAAAAAAAAAAAAAGATGCCGCAATCTTGATCATGTTGTGCTATTTTTTTTTTTTTTTGTTATTTATATGGTTTAGTTCATGGTTTGTACAAATAATTTATCATCTATGGTTTTATTAAAAGTTTTGAAATATAATTTTAAAATATATTTACTCTGAAAGTCATAAGTAATTTAAAGATTTTGTGAAAATGAAGACTTTTATAATAGCAAAAAGAATACTATTTGATCCATTTGAGTGATGGAAATGATTTTGTTCATGGTAATAAATTTATTAATAGTGTCCATAATGAAATAGATTTATATAAGTATTTATGAATTGCCATAAAAGTCTCAAAAGGAGACTATTAAAGTATGATTATATTTAATATCATGCTTATTGATGTAAGTTATTATATTGAGTTAAAATATAAATGTTTTGAAACTTTTATGAAAAAAAAAATTAAGATATAAAATATTTATTAGTTATCTTTCACTAAGGTGAATTTGGAAGCCTCATATTTAAAAAAACCATCAAATAGTGAAAAGATAAATGAAATGACAATTTGATCAAGTAAATTTGATATTTTGATAATTGAATAGGACATTCTTTAGTAAAGAATGTATATTTGCACATGGTAGGGGTGATAAGAATAAATAAAAAATAAAAATTGCCACCATAATGTTGTAAGATTTTAGTATAAATTTATGAGCAAATTATACAAAACTAATAAGTTTAGTACAACTTATTAAAGTAAAATCATAAAAAGGTCCTTAAATATCTTAAAAGGATTAAAATGACTTTAATTTATTTATTTAATGTATCCAAATGTACTAGAAGAATAATTGTATTAAAGATGTACAAAAGTATGAAAATAAAATGGTTAAAATTTATGAGAAGAGTTGTTGTCACAACTAAACCAACTATTTCTTAAAATGATAAAGAATAAGGCAATAATATCTAGAGGATATAAATGATATGTAAAATGAAAAGTTTGAATATTTTAGTATATGATATATTAGATATTCATTCTCAAGTAGGAGTAATTACTATAAAAGAAATTGAATTCCAAGATATTTGGTTAGTAGTACTACAATTAGAATGGATTTAAACCCTTATTATTAGACAATAATAATGAGAATTCAACTTTAAATTAGTAACTTCTAATTATAAAGTTTGATGAGTAAAAATAAGTTATTGTTATATATTTGTTAAGTATTAATAAAATCCATTCAAAATTTAGAAACTAGTGTAATTCATTATGTGAGGATGATAAGTTTTTATACTCTTAATGGAGTTTACTATTTAAATGTCTAAAATAATGAAAACATAATAGAAACTCTACTTATATAAACATAGAAGTAGTGCTACTTCAACAAGAAGAATTGAGGTTTCTCTTGTAAATGTTTATAAATAAGATAAACACATGGCCATAATAGTGCTAAAGCAGTTATAAAACCTTTGATGGAAAAATAAATAAGTATTATATATATTATATCTTCAATTCTAATACTAGGAGTTGAAGTTTAATCTGTAGATACCATCAATTTTATTAGAATTCTAAGGTATATATGTTAATTGAAGGTTTAAATCAAGAAATACCTTCTTGTATTCATAATATTTATTTATGTAAAAAGTTAAAGATTAAGCACTAATGTTCCAAATTAATAAGGGATTTTTAGTAGTTTAAAATGTGATGCATCCTACAT